TACCGTGAGAGCACTTGGACGGGAGATCCTGGCCCCACATATCACCCCCCGCCCGAAGCAAATTGCTGTAAAACAGCGTATCCACCCGCCTCGACTTAATAGTCTTAGGGGTAAAAATAGCACACGCTGCACTTCTCCTCATGATCAGCCTCCGTCAGGCACCGCAAGCACACCTTGTGAGTGTCCCTCACGAGGTGAGGCACGAAGTACAGGATTTAAACTGCCACAAGTGATAAAAACCGTGCAGTAACCTACCCGTACATACATACATACGATAAAAAACAAGCATGGGCGACTACAGCTAATGCGATAATGTAAGCATTAAGTTGATAATAACAAGTAAGACACACTGCAACATAACTAACAATTAGGACTGATAGCGTAATTATAGAAAATGCTAGCAGCGGAAACAACGCCCCACATGTAATAACATACAAATAAAACACTATAACCACACTAAACATTGCAAACCACAAGGGAAGACAATGAAAAATGAGGATAGCAAAGGTACCTGTCCGCCATCTTGACAAGCACCTGGCAAGCCGACAGCGACAGTAACCAAGTTACAACAAACAGATGAATGAAAATATTCAAAACAAATCTCCAAATCGCCCATGCAGGGAAAAAAGAGAACCATACACCCAGTAGCTGTTTCTGAAACACTCATAGTCGCTTAGGGAAATTCAACGTCCGTCGAAGTGGACCCACGTCTAGCCGGTGAAACGACAGCATGGAAAGTGAGGTATGAGGTTATAGTCTAGAGTTACCTGCTCTTGGCTGTAGGGGGCTGTAGGGGGCCGTAGGGCCCTGTAGGGGTGGTCTCACAAGACAAAAACATAGTTTTTTGTTTTGTAAATATTTTATTCAAATATTGTTACAACTGTCGTAGGGATTTTAAATGGACATTTAAATGCTTATAAGTACCCCAAGGAGGAATATATGAATAAGACCTTATATTATGTCGTACTTAATTGATTTGAGGCATACATTACGCCTGTATGCCCCTTATCTGTAGCCCTGTGTAACTTCAGTTCATTCAGCACATTGTCATCAAAGCTTGTGATATTCCAGCTGTATGATTGCAGTCTGTAAACAAGCATTGTCACTAAGGTGACATAATCCCCCATCGCAAATTATCAAATCAAACTTATAAAGTAATGAAAGTTTAAGATGAAGTTAAATGTCAACAAAAACATGACTAATCAACCTCTCTTGATATCTGGCTCTTTAGTTGTTCAAACACACACATATTTTTTTAAGACTGACTTTGACCTTGACATGAATGTCATAGTGTATGAAATATGCAAAACTAGTACTAAAGAAATTGCTTATTGAAAAACATTCAAGAGAAGTCTTAAAAGTCTATGAAGAAAATCCAGTGAACCGTTCTTAAAATATCTTGCTGACAATTCAGGTTAACATGCTGAAATCTTCAAAGTGTCGTCATGACCCTAAAAATTATGTGAAGGTCACCAAAATTGACTGGGCCCTGGGCCTTCCCTAGATGAAGCTTGGTGTCAAATATGAAGAAAATCCACTGAATATTTATTTTATGCGATATCTTGCTGACTATCTTAACATGCAATTTAACATGCTGAAATCTTCAAAGTGTCTCAGTGACCTTGAAAATTAAGTGAAGGTCACCAAAATCGACTGGGCCCTGCGCCTTCCCTGGATGAAGCTTGGTATCAAATATGAAGAAACTCCAGTGAATGGTTCTTAAAGTATCTCGCTGACAAGCATAACATGTAGGTTAATATGCTGAAATCTTCAAAGTGTCTCTGTGACCTTGAAAATTAAGTGAAGATCACCAATATCGACTGGGCCCTGCGCCTTCCCTAGATAAAGCTTGGTATTGAATATGAAAATCCAGCGAACGGTTCTTGATATAGCTTAACATGCAGATAAAATGTTAAAGTCCCCTTGTGACCTTGAAATGAAGGTCAAGGTCACCAAACCTGAGTTGGACCTTTCTTATACTGTGATGAAACTAGGTACCAAATATGAAAAGAATCTAGTGAACAGTTCTTAAGATATTCCAATTCGTACGGACGGACGGAGCCTAATACTATATCCCCCGCTTCTCGCTAAATGCGCAGCGGGGGATAATAATCAATTTAATCAAGTCTGCACCAGACAATCCAGGGATTGACATAATGAGCATTGATCTGGGGTGCAAAGGCATGGATCATCCAAGTCAGCAAGCCAGGCCTACCAGTCTCATTAGATGCCTCTGATGACAATCATGGGTTGCAGAAGACTAAAGCGTAATTATTGAGACTGAAACACATGGAAAATGTATCACTATAGTTCATTTCATTGAAACTACGTGTCAACTAGCCTCATCTTTCACATAAAGAAAATTTGCCTTTGATTCTACTGCATGGTTTTATGAGATTCTTACCAGCATTTCACCCATATATAGGGAGGTGAATTTATAGCAAAGGCTTTGGTACATAGAACTGTACTTTCGGAGCGTGCCAAGAGGGAATACAAAATCAAAATTAAGAGATGGAGACTTTACTTCAAAGTACAGAAACCAGTGAAAATAAAGAAAGAATCCAATGAGAAAAAGACATTTTAGATCTTTCCAAAAACCTTAGGTACCAATTCAAAACTTCAAGTCAAGATAAATAATACAATTCCTAAATTCAGAAACACACCCTGTACCCACAGAAATCCAAAAGAAATTAATTCAGAAAATGTTTCATTCCTTGTAACACTGTCATAAAGATGGCAACAGCAAAGCCCCATCTCTAGAAAGATGCGACAATTCCTAACAGCATATTCCCTACAAATCCTACAGCTTACATTACCCATGGTGCTAAGAGTTTGGGAGCAAAGTTAACAGCTCTCTCTCAACTTGCCCTGACAGTAATTGTGATTTTGTGGTTAAATTAAGGTTTCAAATTGAGTTTTTGCTCAGTTTAGGTATGTTTAGGTTCCATATTAAACATTGAAGAATGAATGACAAAGGGTGGGGTATATGCCTCTATCATGATTCAACAGTAGGAGGATACCTGAACATAGTGAAAGGTCTTCACAGTGCCACAGTAGTCTGTCTCACAGTCCCTGAACCACATTAATTTCCCTACTGCCAAGCCATCGCTGCAGTGCTAAAGCCCTAAATAAAGCAAGTCTAGATTTCCTCAGGTTCTGAATCTCTGGTCTCCTTAGGGCTCCTTTTCAATTTAAATGGGCTTGTTTGTTACTATCAAAATTATAAATTTTCAGAGACTAAGCCTTAGTCTAAGTGCCACAGCTGCACTTGGGCATTCAGCATGATGTGCCAATACTAATAACTAGGTTCCCATACCAACTGATCATGTTATTGAAGAACTGATAAATATTGAAGATGGATAAGTGACAAAATTAAGGACTGAAGTTGTGTTTGTTGACATGACAACAGTATTAAACTAACTAAAAGGCTTGAAAATAATATGACTCAATGTAATGGAAATGAATATATAATAAAGTCAGAATTAGCTATTTTCCCCCCTGTTGGAAATAACGGTAGTAACCAATATGAAGTGTGTGTGTGTGTGTGTGTGTGTGTTAACTAATGTTGTACTCACAACTAAATAATTGCCACTTTTTGAACTATAAATTGTTATACATACATAATATCAACAATACTTTTGGCATATTTAATTACACTGAATATAGTACAAACTATGCAATACAATTGCAACGCATTGATAGTTTTGAATTGTTACACTTCAACATAGTTCAGAACAGTGGCCCCTCAAACATCTACTAGTGTGGAAGGCAATGATCTGTGGCCCTGTTTGTGTAGTGCATCCCTCTTACCTGTGATGGATCACAAACATTGTGATGTGGCTTTCTATTAGCAGTATGCATTTAATGCAACTGCAGCATAATAAATTAACATGAGAACTGTGACTTATTGCAAAGCAACATAACATTCTCAAGCCATGATGGTCTCTATGCAACCACAGCCTAGGTGCTCCTATCACAACCACTTTGTCTGATCTGAACAGTTTTGCAATCCACTGATGACAGGCAACACATTTATCTGTACCATGTTTAATGTATGCTTCAGCTTAGAATACAGCCTTTCTGATTTATTGTGACTTCACCATAGCCAAACTTTATAACTATTAACAATCATGATTATACTAAAAAATGTAGACATTCTGTATTTGTTTACATAAAAAAATCCCCAGATTTTAGATATGCTTGCTAATATTTCTTTTCCAAAGGAAAAATAAATATTTGATGTTTTGATCCATAAAACATTAAACTAAATCAGTCTGGACTAATCAATGTTAAATTCCACCATCCACTGGCTCCCTTTGAATACATCCCTGAAGAAACCTACTTGTTAATGTTATCATTTTCAATTCTGTTCTTAACATGATTACATCATGATGTTTATTACTAACAGCAATGAAATTCTTGTTACAATCCAAGAGTACTGTCCACCTATCAGAAAATATTCTCCAGAAGCACTCGGACAAGAGAAGACTTAATCAGCACTGTTTCTAATATACATGCACACTAAACATTCCAAAACCACTTGTCAGTTACCATTTAAATGCCCTGAAATAACTTGAGTATATTTTGTTTTGTTTCTATATCAGGCTGTTTGGGGAGTGTGTGTAGGTTATATTGTTACAGGTGCACATGTCTAGACGATGTGGGAGGTACATCACTGAAACGTATCGGATATCTAACACCCTTATACAGGCATAGCTTTTATAATCGGACGTCGGTCTCCTTTTCATAATAATCACGGCTCAACTCCACATATCAGGAAATAATTCGACATACAGGATTGTAATATACGCTATAGTAAATCTTTGATGCTATAAGTACACATAGGTGTAAACACGTGAGACAAAGGAACTAAAAATAACATAGTTCAACCACCTGGTTGACCTTTCTGTTTAGTAAGGCTACCTGTCATTGCCTATTCCTCAATTATTCCTATTGATCATGTCGATAAAACACCGCGCCAAAGATATCTCTGAACTTACATAAGACCACCACTGCATCGGACTCGAACATGAGGCTTTCATCCTTTGATTTGCTCTCCATTATAACACTATATGGTGTTTCACGGTCCGGTGGAACCTTGTGAAATATTCGGTAGCCTTTCCCCATCGCCATCTTGCCGGTCTATGACAGCTCCAGTGATTACCTCCCCTTGGATCTGCCCCTCGCTCTCGATTATCCATACATTTCACAATGAAATTAATCTTGTGCAACTGTTACAAACGGTTCATTCGTGAGGAAATAGACTTGATTTAGTCTATTCGGAATATATATATCGCAAGCCTTTGTTACAGGATTGACGAAGATTATATAGACTATCAGGGTATGTGCTAAGCAAATTAATTTGAACGAAATTACGTCTGGGGTAAGATCTATCAATGAAATATGATTACTGCGTCGATATATTTATATGTGCAATTTATCTCCAAATGAAAACATAGGATACTTTCAGCGACGGGAGCGTACTGATCGAGTTAGTTACGAATTACGTCACAATATTTTAGCCATATTAGAGCGAGGAACGAATTGGGGAAAACACATTAAATGACAAGTAAAAATGCACTCTTTCTTCACTATATGTTTTATGGATGCAAAAGGCATCCGTGGTTGTTGGATGTTCCGACAACTTAGAAAAACATGGAAGAAACCATACTTTAAACAAAACATGTTAAAAGAAACTTGATGTAACTTGACTTTTCCTTTTAATAACACGTTTGGTTGAACAAATGAAATATACGTACATCTTTATCAGAAATCTATTATGGGGAATGCATGGTGTTCGCATCTTCGAGGCCCAGGGGTCGATTCCTACATAGATTTGTGTATACATTTTACATATTTTACATGTCGTCACAATGATACAATGATATAAATGTGCATTTTTCATGGGATATGGTATTAGCTAAATAGATTGGGTGAACACAACGTACGTATGTTGTGGGTCACAACGTACGTATACAAAATATAACGCAAACCTCAATACTGTATCAGATATGTATATGCGTTTCCTTACAATACAGATGCTTTAGATGTGTAATCGACGTGTTTGGAATATGTTCCGGGGGCATGCTTGACATACGTTAAGGCCACCCACTTGACTTTGTGTTCTGTGAATTGAATTAACGCAGGAGTAACTTAATGATCCATTGAGGGCCAAGGGGCAAACATACAATCTGGCTGCTTGTGGCGTGGGTCAGCCATTTTCTCTCAACATTGTAATCACATACATCTGATGAAAGATGTGCTTTAGTCATTGGCTCGGGAACTAATATCTTGGAGGTGAGGTGAGGTGAAATTGGGTTTAACGTCGTGCTTGAGAATATTTCGCTTATATGACGACGTGCATGCGTGTGTATGTGTATGTGCGGCTGCTTGTACAAGCCCAGACTTAAGCTGGTTTTATAGTGCTAGACCACTGAGATACCATGCCGTAGTGAAGCATGAATACCTCACTCAGACACAGTATACTGACTCCGAGCCGATCAGTCCTTGTTGTACCCATTAATGCCGAGCGCCAGGCAGGGACCAACAAGTACCATATTTTAACGTCTTTTGGTATGACGCGGTCGGGGAGCGAACCCGCGACCTTCCGCTCTCCGGGTGGACACTCTAACCACTACACCACGGAGGCGGTCTAATATCTTGGATATTCATTCAGCATAAAGAGTTTATTTTGAAAGTCGAAGAAGCTAAATTATTGCTAAAAATCCCGCAAATTCATTAGTTTCCCAATCTAAATGAATGAGGCGTGATACATTTTAAAGCCTATGGATCTGCATAGAATGTAAGAAATATGGACGCGTCATAAAATCGCCTCTCCGATGTGATCCTACTCCGAATGATGAGGCCTTCTTTTTTCAACACCTTTGTGTGTTGTGAAGACGATACCCCGTGTGATAAAACACGGTCTTCAGTAGGTGCATGGTTTTAACATAGCAAACTTTATACCAAAGTTGATTTTCCGAGGAGAAAGTAAAACAGAGTACTGGCAACTGGTAAAAAAATCAAACCGTGTTACGCACCTGCTCACAGTTCATTATTTGTGGAAAATCGGTTATTTTTCTCATATTGTCCTTGTTTCTGTACTTGATGATATACTGAGTCCAATATCTGCAGATGTTGAAAGAAGTCAAAAACTGGTGGCTACCGGAAACCCGTGTTCGATTCCCCACATGTGTCAAATGTATGAAACACATTTCTAGGTCCAGGCAGTTATCAGCGTGAAAGGCGGTTAGTAAAAACACTTTCAAACTCTTCCTTCACCCCACACAAGCCTAATTCAGAATAATTAAAACATATGATAAAATAGATAATATAAAGAGATCTATATGACGTACACTTGGAACCACATCAAGTTTTTAAGTACATCATCTGCAGCCATACGTCTGTACCGGCACAAGTCTCACCACCATCCCGCCGGTGTTATAGCGACTACAGCAGAATACGAACACCTGTCTACCGAAGATGCAAATGTTACAGTCCCCTAACAGACGAAATGGCGAAATGAAGGGTTTTAAAGTTTGATTTAACTGTTAGGTTAAACTTCCCAGATGAAGCGTACAAGAGGAACAGACAAATAAGAAGCACATATACTCAAAACGCAGGATCACTGCCATCCTGTAAGCAATGTCCACTGTAAACATATTGTCCAGGTGAGGAAGTTACTGTAAACATATTGTCCAGGTAAGGAAGTTACTGTAAACATATTGTCCAGGTAAGGAAGTTACAAAAGTATTGGTTGACGACACACAGAATGAAACCTCGCGTAATCTTTCAACTGTTTCAATGCATAATACAAAAAAATAACATACAAAATACACGGAAAGGGTTTTAGTAATATTTAATCAGACTAAATTAACCACACAAAAACACACACACACACGCTTACACACACTCCCCCCATACAGTTTAATCCGATTTATCAGCTGTTGTGGCTTGCCTCGCTGCTCATTCCGCTCTCTCATGCTCCCTCAAGAGCTTTCTTGGAGCATGTTTGTTTCAAATATTAACCTATGAAGCTTGCTATATCTGTTTCAGTAGATGTTGGACAGTTGGCCAAAGCAGCATCTCTGAAACAGAATGTTTGCTGTCAACACATGGCTTTAAAGCAATTGTAATGTTTGTATAAAAATGAGTATTTACATTTTTATGATTATTTTACTACCCAAACGTTAGACACTAGCATCAGATAACCAAAGCAGCATATTAAAACATCATCTGAATCTCAATCATACCGAGTAACAAAAACATGGTCCATAAAGAAGCAGCAACAGGTTTACTTGATAAATCTGAGTGGGCTTAGAACAAATGCAGAAATGATTGTGATGTCCTGTGGTCAAAAATAATAATCTGACCTTTGACTAAACCAGTTGTTTCACTTGGACATGTTTATGTGGTCCCAAGTGCTATCATATTAATAACAGTAGTGTTGTGTATTACTTTAGAAGGAAAACGTTTCACCTCTGATCAGTTTCTACAGTCTTGTTGTAGAAAAGCTTCTCTTGTTTCCAATTCCTTTTACATTGTACTGACCCATGGACCAAGGGTTAAAACTCAACAGTTGGTCTGATGCATGTCTTTGCCGCCAACCCGTTTCTGTGCTTGAAGCTGCAAAATAATATTAAGATTTATATGCTGTCACTTGGCAACATACATTAACAAATTTTATGCCAGAAGTACATGCCACCAGTATTTTCGTAACATAAAAATTAAATACAGATCAATCAACCTAAACCATTAATGAAATACAACAGGAATTTATTACCAACCAAATAAAATCAATTTGTCAAATTGTGCAACTGATTTCATCTGGTTAAATTGTATGATACTTTCCAAAGATGCGGGCGTCATTTACAGAGAAATTTTTTACTAACAATATATACTATTTACAAGACTGAAAATTGTGTATTTCTAACAGTTGACCCAAAAATTAGAAATGGTTAGTTGCCTTTTAATGGCTTTATGACACATCTTCATTTCTTGTTTAAAAGTTGTATACGATATTTACTTGTGAGGGGGCTGACATTTGTTGTGAGGAATCATGGTCTGGGTGCTGGGAAAGGGACATATTGTTTACGCTATAAAATACATCCGTAACTGGAGTCACGGACTTGAATGTAATATTATCCCCTGAGTTCCTGTACATCGCTGATAAGCAAGAGTGCCTCTGTGACCAGATCTGTGTCGACAGATTGGATACAGGGCAGAGGAAACAGGGAAAATTCCTATATTTGAAAACATGCCTACATTTTGGTCATTTAATAAATGGTAAAATTATAGTTAAGTAAATAGTCATAGGAATTCGTACTGTTGCAAACTAAGATTGAACGTTCACAAGGCACGATACAGAATTTGACTGGAATTCTTAAGTGATGATTTATCAGGTTAACTGTGCAATTTGACGTTTTTAGAACAATAATGTGAATACACATACCTCCTCTTAGAAAACTGTAGTCTTGTCACAAGAGTAAAATGAACAGTCTTCTATATCCTGCAGTGTGGCGGAACTTCCTGCCTGCTATGTACAGAGTCCGATTTTGAATGCAGGAATTCCTGCTCTGACCTGATAAAGTATCTGGGAACATTCCTGAGACTGCTGACACCAAAACAAGAGATAGCAAGTTGTCCACACAGGGAAGGCTGAACTTAAACGCACAGCAGTAAATGGGAGATTATATTTGCAATAAAATGTTGCATTTATCGTAAATAGTATTGTACAAAATCAGTCATTGTAATGAAACACATGACATACTATTCCACTTGACCAAATTTTCACAAAAGTTTTCTAGAACTTATAATTTCTCATAAATATTTATGTTCAGGCGTATTTGCATAACAATTATTTTTCAAATTAATATACATTCCTGCAGTGAACAGAAACATCCTTATCAGGGAAAATTTACCTCAAAATGTTTCAATAATGATTGTAGGACATTGTGATTAGGCTTCAATCAAACTTTAGGAAAACCTCCACCAGTGTTTCAATAACGTTTCTAAAAGGTTGGTGTGTAGAAGTTTTGATTTTCTTTTTTGATAACCTTTTAATAACGTTACTCGGAACGTTTTCATAACGTTTCAAAACAAAGCATCACTTGTCGTTGACCTTTGGATGTAGTACAGCTACGT